GAATCAGGGAAAGCTAAATCGTGGACATTCTGAATCGAATATACTCTATCTCTTAAGCAGAAAAAAGGCAATTTCCATAAAATCCGTTCCCTGCTAATTACATACGTAAAAAACATTCGGCGTTTAATCGCTCTATTTCATATGTACTAACGGGCAGTTTACAGAAAAAAAAATTAAACACTTTGCGTGTTGTTCTGTTCTTAATTTCTAACAAATTACTCAAAAATCGTTTCTTCTTCAATCTATGTGTAATACCAAATAACATTTTACTATCACTACTACAGTACCAGACTATCACCCAGTTGTGTGTCTGGACTATATACAATTTACATATGTATATATGTATTAATGAATGTAGCTACAACACCTGGAACTTTAGAAGATATTAAAAAATTAACTAGACTTTAATTATAAAGTGGCACGCAAGATTTTTTTCAAGATTTTTTTTTTTTTTACAAAGCAAAAACAATTGCAGTAGTAGCAAACATGAACTTTGATTGTTTATTTTCACTTTTCATTGTTTATTTTAGTCAGAAACTTGGGCATGCCGCTTGCATATGTACATTCATATACTTGGTATAGTTTATTATACGTACTAAATATATTGAAAAGTGTGAATATTCTTGAACGTCACTCAGGGTATGAAAGATAGGTGTGAATTGGTACTAATTAAATTTTCACCCACTGTGTACATATGAGTGATAACCAATTTAGTTTCTTTGATGTTCAGATGTGCTTTATCTTGTAGGATAGTTTTCAGTAAAAATAAGCTTTTATTCAATGGAAATGTTTTGAGGATCATAGATAGTGCGACTCTTGCGTATATAAAATACTTTATATGTAGTTGTTGAAATAAGTAGTTAAGATATTTTTTACATCCCATTGGCATCTAGATATGTGGCTTCCGGTCTCACTTTGTTGTTACTTGTTTGAACTTTTTTTCCCCAACAATGATGACAAATATTTGCCGGCTTATTTGAGAAAATAATTAGTAGTGCAGCCCTGCTGGAAATCGGATTATGATTTTACGGTCACATATTTGGAATTAGTTTTTGCCTTGCTTTTGCGAAAACCCCAAGGTTGGAGTTCCTACTACCTTAATGTCGTTTATGAGATTTCAGCTTCGATTCTTCATAAAAGCAGACTTTTTTCTTAATTTAAACCAGATGTTTTTTTTTTAAATACCTACATTTTGACTCATAGACTTCTTTCTCGTCTTGGCTTCTGGAAAAACTATCGAGTCGTCAATTCAACAAGTAATTTTTAGCAAAAAAAAAACCGACTTCAACTCTCATATAAAAAAAAAATATATATATATATATATATCTCATGATCCGATCGGATCTTAACCAGATTAGTATGGGACCACCGCTGAGACACTACCTTTCCGATGCAAAAAGAATTATCGAAATCGGTTGACGTGGTCCAAAGTTATGCGGTAACATACATAAAAAAAAAAAAAAAAATATTCCGACGAACTGATAACCTCCTCCTTTTTTGGAAGTCGGTTAAAAAGTAGCTGATCTTTGATTTAATTCGTACTCATTCCACCAGCGTACGTAAAAAAGAAGGCTCATTCCGCAAATTTTTAGAAAACATAATTATGCCCGATTTCCACTAGGCAAAAAATGTTTGTGACAAATCTGGGCATTAAAAGCCTGTGTCATTACGTTAAAAATAAGAGTATATTTTCACACGCCATTAGTTTAATGATATAAAATTTTTCGTAATTTTTGTAATTTCAATGCGTAGTGCGAATTGGGCATTAGTTTTGGCATTTTGTGATGGCACTTTTAAAAGATATAGCAAATGTATATATCTTTTAAACCGGTTGTTCGGCAGGCAAAACATCCAACGTTCAATCGCTCCCCTTGGCTTTCATTTGTTAACCAGATAAATATTTGTTTGCCATTTTAGCGATGTAATTAATTTGTTTGCATTTATTTTATTTATAGAAACTTAGAAAACCTATACATGTACATGACTACACATTTCTACTATACACTTTAGTACATAGTTACGGTGACCATCCGTCCTGTATTATACGGGACAGTCCTCTTTTGGACCCGTTGTCCTGGCAATTTATTTATTTTATACGGGACGCCAAATGTTCTGTATTTCTTTTAATGTCCTGTATTTGTCCCGTATTCGGTGTTTCGATGCCTTAACATCTCATTAAAAAGGCCAGCCTATGAACGAGTTTTAAGTGATCTGAATATTTGAAATTTAAGTGATCAAAATAGAAGCTATGACTCGACATTTCAGCAAAGTTTGGCTATTTTTCCTTAGTTTATTTAACGTTTATTATTCTTTATGAAAGTAAAGAAAGCTCTTTTCCTAAAAAACCCATATAATACTGTTTAAGTGCGACTGCTAACACCAGGCGCGTAAATTCGTGCTATGTGCTGCTGCATGTCCAAAAATTTCCTTCATTAAATTAATGAATGCACTTCTCAACTGCCATGTAATAAAACTTTCTTAAGTTATAATTTGATAGCAGTTCAAAGTATGCTCGGGCGATGCGTTTCGATAACTTATGTTTTGGGACAGTATACATTGTCAATATTTTGTAGTTAGACATTATGTTATACTTTGTACGTATGCAAAGCAATTGACGTTTTGGAAGTCAGCCATACTTACCTACTTTGTATGAAAAAGATGCTCAACATCGTCAACAACAAAAAAAAATGGTCAAAAATTAACGGTAAGTCTTAGCGACTTCAAAATCGCACTTTATTGTACTTAAATTTAAGGTTTCTTTTTAATTTTGTGGGTAAAAATCTCGGGGAAAATTTCCTACAAATTTGTGATGTTACTACAAGGATGCTATTTCAAGGCTAATACATCTAGGATTATTGAAGAAGGCTTTAAGATCAATAAGTTTTTGTGGAAAAAATGTNCATAGTACATGCATATGTTTTTTTTTCGTATGTATTTTTGCATTGATAATCGTAAAATTGCAAATTGAAAAAGTAAATTAATTTGCTGTGCGGTATGTATGTACGTGCTATAAAAGGATTTGGTAATAAATTTTTTTTATTTTTATTTCGAATGTGTATGTATGTATATTTGTTTATCGAAGTATGTATGTGTAATCTTACAGGTAGGTCAGCCGAGCTCATCTAACCCATAATAGATATTGCAATATTTTATATAATTTTTTTCCACATAATTACTTAATTGGTATACCTACTCCATTTTATACCACATTTTAAGATGAGATCATTCATTTGCCAAATGTAACGCTGAATTAGAAGAGGGTTAAGATTTGGTTGTTACTCAATTTTGTCGTGTCTATATTTTTATGCAATATTTATGGGCAGTCTTAATGAATTGGAAACGTAAATAGGTGAGTGTAAAGAAGAGTTACTGGTAGCGACTGTTTTTCAATAGCGCTTGCGAAATTAAGCAGAGATCACTTTGAGATGATTTGTTGACCTAGTCCCGTAATATATATATGTAGGTACATATGTACATATGTAAGTAGTTAAGCGATGAATAAAATGTGTTCATCAAAATCACTTAAATATAGAATCCTATGACCAGATATAACAAACTCAAAACCTTCCTTGAAAAGGAATACCGAAGGAAGGCTGTTGTCAACAAATCCTAGGTACTTCAAACTTTTTAGAAAAATTAGAAAACTGAACAAAGTTTTACAACAACCAACTTTTTATTATATAAGAATTTCTATAAAAATTCCAAGTATGCAATTTTTAGCCCATTAAATTCTAGCTTAATAAGTGACAGTTTCAAGTGGTAATAACACCATCCGCAGAAAACCTATCAAAAATAAACGCGAATTCCTAGCCACTTGAAACTTACTCTTTCTTGGGCTAGAATGTAATGGACTATAAAACTGCTTGCTTGGAATTTTTATAGATATTCTTAATAAAAAGTTTGTTGTTGTTGTAAAATTTTGTTGAATTTTTCTATCTTGTTTGAAATTTGGACTTATATAATTTTTGTTAGATAATAAGCTGCATTTTTTATAAAAAATATAATAACAAACATTAAAGAAACAGAAGGAAATAGCCAAAAATGGTCAAAATTTCGTGTCCCTATTATTTTTCACATGACTGTATGTAAACGAGAAAAGTGCCGCAGCTAAAAGTGCTCTACGACTTAAGGTGTGTCACAGGCCAAGAACAACTTGCAAAGGTACATACGCTACCATCCTGGACAGAGTTAAGAAATTAGTTTCTAATGCAACTTCGAAATCCATTGTTTCAATAGAAGTGGTTGGGAACTTTATATCGTTCTCAACGATAACGAATTCTTGATGTTCACATATGGCTTTAAAATGGACAGAAATTATCTTTGAGAAGATGTGGGTTGAAATCACGAGGCAACGTGTTAAAGTGATAATAACAATTTTTGCTTTGTATCTCCGAATTATGAAAAAGCAGCTGTGAAGTGCAGAACATAAGGCGTATTCAAACGAAAAAATCGGCAACCAAAAATTTTTTAATGTAAACAAAAGTGTAGTTAATATTACCAAATCATTGTTGAAAATATCAACCAAGGTATTGTTAATATTAACCAAATATCACATTGATTCCTTGTCAAGTTTGAATTTGGTAATATTAACCAATATTTGATTGATTTTTTTCTCAGTGCAATCAATCTTTGCTGCTAGGTTGCAGACACAGTGGTGTGAGAAAGCGGACAAGTTCAGATCATAAAACCACCCAAAGTCATGGATATCAAGAGTATCTTTCAAAGTCTGACGCCATCTCAACCTCGTTTCACCTATGCGGAAGCCCTCAGCCTTTCAGCTTTGTTTATCTTAAAACTAAAATTTAAAATTTTTTGGTATGCAAATCAAAATGAATGGACCAAACCTTGAGTTTGAGCAGCAGGTCCTACTAGAATCCTCGAGTGGAAAAGATCAAACTATTGTAAATGCTAATCTATTAAAATTCTACTATTACATATATACACGATTCTTTTTAATTTTTTCAATAATAATTAGTTGCCTTCTCTTTTCATTATTTCAGATCACCATGTGCACTTTGACACCACCAATCTGAAGGACGATTTCGAATCGGACAGCTGTGTCACCTACCAACGTTCCGGCGACACAATTGTCATCAGTTTGGGTTTCCTGCAAGTCAATCACCGCTATCTGATCGACCTTAAACTGCCCGTGACATTATTCGACAATCTCGGCACAACATCTGGCAGTCAATTTGAGCCCGCAGTTACCACAGTTCCTAACTTACATTGCCGCATTACAGAATTTTCCGGCTTAAAGCATGACGAGCATGATTTCTATGAAATGAAAATCGAATTTTTCGCCTACAAAGAGAAACTGCTACGCGAAGTGATACACATTGTTAACTCGAACAATTCGCAGGAGGTGCTTAAGTTGATGATAGCAGCACGTGTGCTGGGCAAAGGCAAGGGTACACCGATGCTGCGCAGTGGTATACATTGCATAGGCATTGAAAGGGATGACGGGGACGAGTCGGAGGCGTCAGATTTTCCCGGCTTTGGCAAGGGCACCTAAGGGGAAGCAACAGAGTGCCAAAGCATAAATTAAAATAAACCAAAAAAAAAACAAAAACACAATTAAAACTGTATTATATAAGAAATTCTAAAATAAATAAATATGTAAATTTATGACATTCTCCACTCACGATTTAATGAATATTACTACAGCACTTGACTGCAGTAAAGATGAATAATGGTCCATGTGTGAATATATTTAGTATGCATCAAAGAACGTGCATAATGAAGCAGTACTTAAGCGTTAGATTTGTATGTATGTATATAGTAAAGTACAGCATGTTTTATCTATCATCGGCGACATTTTACTAAAAATACATAAACAAGTATAAATATGTAATGCTATTTGTAGAGATGTTATTAGAAAAGGAAATGCGCCGACAGACAGCCTTGTAATGCGACTTTTACTTTATTGAATGCAATACGATGTACTATGTATGTATCTATGTAATTATGTATGTACACTTATACAAACTGACTTACTTTAAGAGGTGGCAAACGTAACGTGCAAATTGGAAGTAATTACTACTGCTTAAAAAAAAAAAAACAGTCATGCATAGCAATACTTAAACTTAAACTAAAAAAAAAAAAAAAAAAAAAAAAAAAAAAAAAAAAAAGGGAAAAAACCCNAATTAAAAAAAAAAAAAAAAAAAAAAAAAAAAAAAAAAAAAGAAGAAACGAAAAAGTGTAAAATCCCTGTACCCTCTAGTGTATTCTGAAACTTTTATTCTAATGCGCCGTTATGAAATTTGTACACGATTTAAATTTTGTTGTATGTATAGTTCCATAAAAGAACGGCGCCGTGGCATTTTGACTCGTATCAAAACTATTTGTAATTGTAAATTTATGCTAATTTTTCTTTAATAAACATTTTAAGTTAAACACATTTTCGCGCTTTTTCTTTATTTATTATCTACTTTTAACTTGTATACAATCTGGTTTGTACCATTTTTCCTATTCAGTTGATAATTTGTTTCTCACTTCTGTCTCGTTACTTCTGTTTCAGTATTTTAGTTGTTTGCCAAAGGATAACACCGCGCAACAGTCAATTTTACTTCGAAGAAAATCGATATATTTACTCGCGAAACTAGGTGCCGAATGTAGTAAAACTGCAAATTTAGTTTTTTTCCTCAGACGTCAGGATTTTTTAGAGGACTTTGATATGCTTAATTGGAGAAAGATTTTTAAAAATTCAGTGCAATGTAGCATAACAAATTGGGTATCAAATGAAATAGATTAAAAAGATTAAATTTTTCGGTGCTAAAGGACGAATAGTTATTGAAAATGCTCTTTGAAATTTTATTCTTGAAAATGGGCTTTTTTTTACAGATCTTCAATTGAAAAGTATGTCAAAAAGCTGCAATTAATATGCGCTATCTGCCATTAATTCACAAAGGCCCTAAACAAACATCCATTCGTCCCCATCGCTTATTCTATTTACTATACCCTCAAGGACAAACACGATACCAATGGCGAATTTGGCGATTCACTGGCGCGAATGGGATAGTCGAGATCGCGCAGCGCATTATAATCGCAAAAATTGGCCGACTCGTAACTCGCTCACATGTGGAGAAAAAATTTTTTGCTTGCTCCACTTGCACAACTTGACCGTATTTGTCTTCCAATTCTGCACATTTAGCTGGATTTGAAAAAGAATTTCATTACAAAACTGCAGAAGAATGGAATTAAGTTTTACAAACAACAAAAAAGGTATTTTTGTTGGCTCCCTAATCCGTAAACTAACTCAACATGATTTTGACGCCATTAAGAATCGGAACGCAATTGAGAAAAAAAAACTAATATTTCTCTGAAAAATCTAATTTCAGTGTTTCTCGGGAGTACTCGTGCGTCTAACCAAGAGGAACTTATCGAACATATGCTTACAAATTTCAAAGAGATGGGTGTCAATATCTCTCTTAAAATGTATCTTTTGCACTTCTAATGCGATCAAAAAAAAAAAATGTTTAAGTATTTCATTCCAGAACGCGGAAAGTGTTAAGAGACAAAAAACTGGCTAAATTAATCTGGGATATTGATTTTTTAATGTTGATTCGTTTATGAAATCCCTTTGTTTTCAAAATAAATTGAGGCCATGAGAGCACAAGTGGCTTAACCCAAAATTTTTTATTTTTTTTAATGTGGTTCCCTATTTAATGTCTCAAGTAAGATAAATTTTAAAATGGAAGTCGCTTATTCTTTAATTTTAAGGTAAAGATTTGCATAATGTATCATCAAAAAAAGGAATAGTCGATCTTTACTTTAAAAGTACAAGAAAAAAAATTTGGGTTAGGCCACTTCTGCTCTCATGGCGTCAGTTCATAGATTCGGATTTTCGTATTTGTAGGAAAACAAGAACTGAGTTTTTTCAATAATTTTTAGTAATTTTTCAGAAATTTTTTTTTTCAAAAACTAGACGTGCTAAAAAAATTTTGTAAGTGCAACTCAAATCAGCATCATAAAATCTATAAGCCCGGTTTTTTGAGATAAAATACGACCAAATTTTGTTGCACATTCTAACGCACTTTTACTATATTTCGTTCCTAGTTTCGTTTTTTTTCTTTGTTTTTTAATGCACGGTGTAATTATGTACAATATAAATTGTGTAGACACTCAAATAGCAAATTATATTGATGTCAAAATTAATTGTCTTCAGATCTTTCTTAGCTTTACAACAAAAAATTAAGGAGAAATATGTAACTGAACCCGTTTTAAGCAAACCAAACCCTCAGCCATTTCTTTTTTTTTTCAATAAATGCAATGCACTTGTACCAAAATTCGGAAAAAAGAACTGACGACACAATACATACACGAAGCAACACTTTTACTAAGCTGATTTACTCTAAGATGTATACACAAGAAAAAAAAAAAAAGTAGCAAATCCTATATAGATAGATATACACATTTTTCCAAAAGTAATAGTAAGCACATACCTTCATAAAAGGAAATTCTTACAAATTTTATCTAATATTTTTGTAGTTTTATTATCCCTCGTGCTGCATTTCTCTATATACTATACACCGTTTATACTCCTAATGCCATTTTATATTAACTTTTTAGAAAGTCCCTTTGAGCCGGCACTACCAATAAATGCTTAATGCACCTTTAACACAGATTTTTATGACGATAAGTATTTAATTTAATTAATTAATAAAAACCCTTTGTAACATTGAATTTTGCCTTAACTGCCGACTATTCTACGCCAAAATAAAGGTCCATATAAGTAGCTATCATAAGGGAAAGGTAGATATAGTTATGAACATAGATTTAATATATGTATGGAGAATAAATAGAAAACTATTATACATACATATGCACATATGCACATATGTATGTAGATATGGGAGAAAATGGCTTTATCGAAATAATTATAAGAGTTACGAATACATGTAAGTGGATTTTTGGAATGTGAGCATGCGATTGTTTGCAATGTCATAAATTTTTTTTTTTTTTTTTTGTAAATGAACCCCGCCTACCCACAACTTCCGTCAAATCCGCCCACAAGTATGTAGACTGAAAGTCCGATTACCTACCACAGCAGTTCACTGTTCAGTGCTTCCCGGTAATGGAAAAGTACCCTGCAGGGAGTGACGTTAGCTTATACCTAACTTTAGTCTGTTTACGCGAACACTAGTGCTAACTATTAACTGTGTATTTTGTTCGAAAAAAGCTAACTACTTTTGTGGGGCGATGGCCGCAAAAAAGTCAGACCTGGATACCTCTGCATTACATGTCAACTAACTTGTAACTAACTACTTTTGGACATAAAATATCAATAAGAAAAACAAAATATTTTTTTGTTTTTTTACTTTTTTATTTACTTATTTATTTACTTTATTTTATTACATTTCATATTTGTTTACATATTCTGCTCTGGGTGGCCCCATATTCGAACACCGTCAGACATAACTTCAAAATGATAGTATAAAATTTCGATCTTCCTTTTATTTGTCCTGAATATGAAAAAGAATCTGCGAAGTTCAGAAAAAAAGTGTATTGAAAGTAATTTTTGTATGAGGATATTTAATAGAAACTTGTAAAGAAAACCAACTCCCGATTGCGTCTGCATGACTCCTGCATGACTTTACAATTCACTTTAAGTTGGTTTTGTCATAGCTAATTAAAAGTGAGGTATTAATCGAAATTTCGCCAAAAAGCTAACTATAAGTTGGTTAGTTTTAACAATTGATAATTTTTCACTGCAGGGTAGGTACAATTGCGCTTTCTACTTTGAAGGTACACTCGGTACATACACAGCATTTACGGTACATTTATAACGTATCGAAACAAGTTTGCGAGGGATTTTTTGGTCGCTGTCAAATGTAAGTGTACACCTTGTTGTAATACAAAAATCCACAATTATTTTAATGAAAAATTTTCATCAAAATTTCATAATTTTTATTCAGAATTTCTGGAAAATTTTTGAGTGTGTTATTTTGTAGCCCGTTCAAGTCGCTATAAATTATCGTTGAATTTTTAGATTTTTTTTTTTGTGAAGGGTGTTGGGCATTTTCTTTCATATAAAATAGATTTTGATCACGCGTTATGTGGAAGAAAACGCGCGACACCCTCAAAAAAAAAATATATATATATATAAAATCAAAGGTAATTTGCAGCGGCTTGAAACTTGCACTCTATTTTACTAAAATTGAACGGGCTATAAAACTGCAAACTCGAAAATTTTCTAGAAATTCTGTATAAAAATTTTGAAATTTTGTTGAAAATTGTTTGAATTTTTTTGAACTTTATATAAAGTGTGAAACTTTGCTTTTGTGGTTTATGTTATAGAATGAGCTATATAAATAATTAATGAAAACAATTTGGCATTAAAATAATTGTGAATTTTACATTACAATAAGGTGTACACATACATTTGACACCGACTGTAACTCGAAGAGGACTTTCCCAATACTGACCGATCTCCTTGTATTACTCAACGACATTTTAATAATAATAATAAAATTAATATAATCAATCCTTCTCACACGGGCCTTTTCGAAGATTCGGCTATTACTAATACAAGCTCATAGTGCCGAGTATTCGAATCCGAATGATTTGCTTTTCGAAGCGCAATACAGAG